TAAATTCTATTGTTTGCTCATCAACTTTATTGTTCTTAAAATTACTGAATGTTACATCAAAACAGCTAAAAGATTTTTCTAATTAATAAATACAGTAACCGATAACAACAAATAAATTAGAAAAAAACCAAACAGTCAAAAATAACAACTTCTGTTTTGACAAACATTGCGACCAACAAATCGCTAAGTTTTATTTCGGTTAATTCTAATGCTGTACTACTTTACAATATAGCTGCTAAACCAAATTACTATTACAATAATGACTTTGTCATAATATTTATACAGTTTTTTTTTCTGATGATGATGACAAAGCACACTGGCAAACACTCAAAATTGACAGGTATATCATAAGCCATAGCAACACTATCAAACCGAACGAATATGCTTGAACGCAGCCAAGAATCCCTTGTTCACCTCTTCTATCACGTTTTGCAACAATATCATTTTGCACTTTTGGGCAAGTATCAGCCGAAATCCAATAAATCGCCTATTATGTCTCAGAAATGTATTTAAAACAAGTGCTCCCGGCACTGAAATACTAAAATTCTAATTTTTTTCCCTGTCGACTTTTGAGAATTTTTAAACAGATTCAACACACTTCATGAACACCCTTAAAGCATCTCCACGCCGTAAGTATTTGAGCTTCCAGCTGGCGATCCGATTGTCTCCACTAACAGTTAAAGACCATAAAAACACATTACTGTACTGGAAACAAACAAAGTAAAACCAGGCAATCATTTCTAATAGAAAAACCCAACAGATGCACTGTTACCACTTACGTTGACAACGATCATTCTCGAAACCCATATTTCCCTTCCACACTGATATTACGCGTACAGTAACTTCACCTTTGGCATAATCTACACCAAACACCACCAGGATTGTCTAACCCTCCGATTCATATATTCTTGAAGTGTAAAAAGCCTTGACAAACGACTGCTTGAAAAACCTCTTGTCACTTTCGTGTTTTTAAGCAGTTCAAACACTTTTTGACTTATCAATCTCAATACTCCTTGCAGTAAATTTAATAACAATAACGGTACAAACCCTTTATTCGGCAGTGATATATATATATATATATATATATATGATAGTCTTTTTAGATACAGATAGTAATATTCTCGTTGTAGCAATATCAGATAAGGCATAAACAAATAGCAAATTTACAAACAACAGTTACTAATAACAGTGACGTAAACTCTAGTATACTACACAAGACCTAACTTGTTAAACAAATCCGATGAGTACTGACATAAACAGAAGTCAATTGACAGAAAAATAAAAATAAAAAATAAAATATGAAGTTTGTGATAATAACCTGTCCGCTGCAGTACCCCCAGTTTCTTCTGCAAAAACCGCTCACATTAAAAAGCCACAGAAAGAATAGGCCGACTTTGAAAGTGAAAAGATTGAGCAAAACACTAGTCAAACAAATTAGTCTACCAGAAAGCTATCTCCACTTCACTATAGACGAAACTGTTAGCAGAAAAAAAAAGTCACAGTTCCAGTACAATGCAAGATGCCTTCTGCGTAACGTGTACTTCCTTCATATCGGTGAACACTGTTACAGGGGCTTTAGATAGACAAAGATGCTGCTTATCAAATCAGCTCTAGCTGGTATTTTAAACCACCTCACCCTTCAGGCCAAATTTAAAACCACTACAAGACCCATACCACATGAAAACTTTTTGTGCTTGAAATTCCAAGTTAGTTTTCATATGTAAACGTAATATATAAAGCAAGTAATAACCCAAAGCAGAACCTGACTGCTAATTTAGAATGATTTGACAAACATTCCTGTCTAAAATCCCCCACAGTAGAAATTCTGCAATTCCTGCTATTACAAGCGAAGTAAACGTCATACAGGAAACAAAACACTGTTCCGTATCGCTAAAATTCCATCCGATCATTTTTTTAAATCACTAAATATCCCACTTAAATTTAAACAGTAACAGCTTCTTCGTAAATCAGCTCCTTTTTATAAGTTTCTTCCTCAATATTTTGTTACAAAAAGCCTATTCGTTTCCACCACGAATGCTTAACTTAAAAAAGCTGGACGAGAGGTCTTAAACCTTTTCCTTCCTTGTTTTCGCTGACTTATTTGTAGATCTCACCACTTTTTAGAATCACTATGACTTAGATGTTACAAATAAAAGAACCACATTTGAAACTAGTAGTTAGTTGATCTGAAAGATTATTAAAGTGAGTTGAAGTTACCGGTAAAGAGCGCTAATTGAATGCTAGAGAAACAACAGAAGTAACAATACTTTAAACAAATATTTCGCTTTTCACAACTCATTTACCAAAGCGAAATTTAATAAGATTTCTTTAATAGTTACTAATCAATGAATTACATATGTCATGTAAAAAACACTTTAAATTTTACAGATATTTACTTATAAACATAGCACTAATCTCGCAACATAATATCTGTAACGACTACATAAAGTAACTTCTAATTCTCTGTCTCAACAAAAATTACTATAAAATAACTACTCTAAACAAAATTAGCTTTACTATACTAATAATTTCAGCTGATAAGAATAGCTACAGCCTCCTACAAACAACAAATGACGGATCTCCGTTAGTAGAAAAATGAAAAACATACTACCGGCTAACTTTACCAGAAAAATCTCTCTCGCAAAAACTCATAAGCCGAGTTTGTGATACCCCATGCCAGAAGAGATCTGAAATTAAAATCAATTTTTTAAAAAAACCGATACATATACTTCTGAAAGTCGTAAAATTAGAAACTATTATCCTTTGAATTAAGCATACCGTGTAAAATTTAAGCCTACGCCACGATAAAGCCCGCTAAACCCGCCACGTTCTTTAATAACAATAAACAGTACTTTAAAACCAGATTGAAACTTTGTTTGCACTGTACTCTGCATTCGATTTTTTACGACATTAACAGGAAAAAATAAAGTTGAAATGCTTGCTCCCAACAGTGCACCAGAACAAAAATTGGCACCAAAGTTTATGAAAGACGGAGGTAGCCTTAAAAAAAAGATGTCTAAGTAAAGAAGTATGTGACAAAGATCTGAAATAGAAAGTATGAAGAAACAGTAAGAAATAAGCACAAATCAATAAAAATCAAAGGTAATATATTTCTGAAATAACGTTTATAAACGAACCTATCACTAAGCCTTCCTGAGGTAAAACCGTATTCATCTACACGAAGAATTTTTCTCCAAAGTGGTTCTCGAAGAGTGAAAAATAAACTATTGCTTAAGCCATTACGTACTATAATGACGGAACAAGCACGATACAGTTCTCGAACTCCCATCTTCAAAAAAATTATTAACTTCCAGACCTCAAAACTCCATCTAATATTTCTATTATCCAAGAAATAGTGAAATTTTTTCAGAAGTTAGTTAAAACTTCCAGACCCCAAAACTCCATCTAATATTTCTATTATCCAAGAAATACCGAAGTTTTTTCAAAAGTTAGTTTAAATGACTGAGCAGTTTTTCCAGAAAAAACTTACACCAGCTAAGGAACGGAAAGCATGAGCAGTATTTCGGTAACGATTGTGATATTCTGGGCACTGCAGTATAACTTGAGTCCTTTCCAGTGGACAAAGGAAAGCTTCGCAAGAGCCAGCTGGAGGAAGGATTACAGAGATTACATTAAGATAAAAAATTGATTGAAATGAAAATTTTAAAATTCAACTTCCAAAACTTATTAAAGTTAGAATATTATCTCCTACTTGGTTCTACAGCAGTAAAATCGGCCTTTAAAAAAATAAAACGAACAATAGAAGAAAATACACAACTGCAGCAAAAATTTCAGTCGTTAACCTAAAAAAGCGGCTTCCGCGTGACAAAGTGTAAAAGACGAATGAGGAGGCGACTCGGGGCAACACAATACATTTTTCCACTTCTCATACATGCCAAACATCAGTGCGCGAGATGCAGACCGCATAAGCAAGGGCGGCAAAAGCCCTCGATACAGATGTACAAGACCCTCATTTTTCAACTACAAAAAATACTAGACACAAACGAATTTTAAAACAGTTAACAACTAAATCCAAACAAAGAGGATAACTAGAAAAAGTAGGAAAGGCAATGGCTTCGCTTTTTTTTAGTACTGATGCGAGTAAGAGAATCCCAAACTCAACAGACCCTATCCCGAATGAAAAGAACTTGAGAAGCTTTTGTGAGACCAACAACAACTCATATATCAGCAGTAAAGGTAAGGTAAAAATAAAAGAAAAGAGCAAAATTTTGTAAAAAAGAAAAAAGCTAAAAACTAAAAAGAAAAATAAACTAGAATTAAAAAAGTAAATCCTAATCTAAATATTCTTCTCATTTCAAAATGATTATAAATAAATTACTTGAAGAAGCGCTTCTTTAGCTGCTAAGCCACGTAACTGTTGTCGAAAAATTAACTTGCTTTGCGGATAGAGAACAGTAGTTTCAATGCAACCTGCACCCCAGCCACAGATGAAATCCCTCTGCTGATGCTTTCTCCCCATCAAAGCTGCTTTGCATCGATCTGCTTTTACAGCATTTTTGGTACCGATGCCTACTGTCCTGTAATAAGCTGAGTCCAGCAATGAAAACAGTACATTTCGCTATCAATAAAGTGAAATCCAAAGTCTGAAGATGCAAATAAACACCAATAAAACTGTAGTACAATGACTCCACTTTAAAAAAATACAGACCAATCAATCACGAAATAACGCTTCGCAAAAAAATTTCAGGAAAATCGGGCACAATTCACGTCGGTACAGCCTTTA